AAAAATCTGATTTTTGAAAAGTTAAACTTGTGGTGGGATTTTTGAAAATGGAAATCTAAAAGTAGGGTTGAATGTAATTTCCTCTTAGCAAAACCATTAGCAACAACCCACAAGTCCACACCCAATTCCAAAATTGAAAACGGCGAGAGGAGAGGGATACTGGGACTAAGACCGTGAGACGACGTCTTCGCGTCTGCTAGGCTGCGGACTTGCTAGATGTTGCTCTGACGTCCGATTGACGAGACTGTGGTGGTCTGGTGGTGGAAGGTGGATGCTTGAAAGGCTGAACTGACTCGGTGTTGGAGTCTACTGTCGGTGAACGGTAAGAGAGTAAGTTCTTTATTTCTCTTTTTTTTTTGTTCTTTTTTTTAAGTTTTTATGAATTATGTATTATTAGAAATGAGATTTGTGTTGTATACTTGTATTATTGATTTATTGTCTGAGAGAGTCAGAGACTGAGACTATGAGTAATTTTGATTTGTGATTTGTGAATCGTGATTTGGGAATTTAGATTTTTAGGAAATTAGGGATAAGTGAAAAAAAATTAATGGAGAAGATGTTTTTTCAACCGAAACGAAAGTCCATACCTAGTTCTTCTTTGTCTAGTTGTGCATCGGTCCCGCTTTTTTTAACCGATTTTTGACATTATTTAATTAAATATTAATAAACGATCTCGTTCTTACGATCGCTAATTGTCGACGTTGACCGGTCAACGTCCGCCCGGACTGAGCTTCAATGCTGGGTCTGCCACTGCTGCTGAGTGGTCCTCTCCGCATGACGCTTGGAAAATCTTCACAACCTTTGGAGCTTTATCAAGGAACCTTGCATACCCATTAATTGCACGAGCCCGCTTAAGGCCTTCACTGGTAATACCTCTACCAAGCTGGCTTACTCATTATAGCCTGATTTAGTGAAGATTGAAAAAATTCTAATTAATAAGACGTAAAACACCCAAATGTTGAAAAGTTACATTTTGATTCATACGGTTGTAGTTTTGGTAAGATAACAGAAATTAACATTGACAGTAACCAAAGAACAGTAATAGAAATCTTTCGGGATACTACCAAATTACAATTAATGTGGAGTCTTTACATGGGCCTTCCCTTGAAGATGGATCCCATTCTTTAACATTCATCGGTAAATAGACCACTTTCCCTAGTTTGTAAGTCAAAAAATATACAATTTCACGTTTAACAAACTTACAAAAAAATTTCAAAAATCGGGTGATAAATTACATAAATTTATAAGATAAATAACAATAACAATTCACAAATATCTTGTTACAGCTCAACAATCAGCCGAAGCTGGAGCTAGAAACAAAACTGAAGCAGTTGGTAGTTAAAATCAGTTGCAATAGCTGAACTGGAACAAGTTGTTAAAACAGTTACTTAAGTGGTTAGCTTTACAGTTAGTTAGTTAACATTGTAACTGATTGACTGATCTCTATAAATGAGAGTCTATGTTCCAACGAATGTAATTGAGTGGATTAAAAACTTCAATAAAAAAAAAGAGAGTCTGATTCTCTCTGTTCAAGTCCACTTTCTTCATTTCTTTCATATTGCCGTCCCTTTTGTTATGGTATCAGAGCAATCTTTAAAACCTTCCGCTGTGTTGTAAAAACAAAATTCCAGTGTTAATCATTGCTACGGATGATTCCTCTAATCCCTTGTTCTTGGCAAATAATGACAGCCCTGGCACTGTCTGGGTTTCCCAGGCACTTGATGGATCCAATTATTTTCCTTGGAAGAGATCTATGTCGATGGCCATTTCAGCCAAGAACAAGCTTGGTTTTATCAATGGTAACCTCCCGAAGCCACTGATAACTGATCCTTCTTATCAAGCATGGATTCGTTGTAATGATATGGTTTGTTCCTGGATCCTAAATTCTTTGAATAAAGAGATCGCTGCAAGTGTCCTCTATATTGCCAATGCCTCTGATATATGGAAAGAGCTAGAAGAGAGGTTCAGTCAGGGAAATGCTCCACGTATTTTTCAATTAAAGAAGGCAATATGTGCTCTCAATCAAAGTTCATCATCAGTATCTGATTACTTCACAAAATTCAAGACCTTATGGGACGAATATTTCAACTATCGCCCTCTTCCTAATGATTCTAGTCCCAGTGTTAAGACTCTACTGGACTATCATCATCAAGATTATGATTTACACTTTCTAATGGGACTAAACGAGAGCTTTGGTGCAATAAGANATCATCAGTATCTGATTACTTCACAAAATTCAAGACCTTATTGGACGAATATTTCAACTTTCGCGCTCTTCCTAATGATTCTAGTCTGAGTGGTATGACGCTACTGGACTATCATCATCAAGATTATGTTTTACACTTTCTTATGGGACTAAACGAGAGCTTTGGTGCAATAAGAGGTCAGATACTGTTATCTGATCCTTTGCCCTCTATTAACAAAGTTTTCTCTTTAATTTTGCAAGAGGAAACTCAGAGAAATGTTGGCCATTATTCTCCTCACCTTGACTCTGCTGCTATGATTAGTAAGATAGCACCTGGTTCATTCAAGCAGCAATCTGGTCCCAGAAAGGGAAAGCTATATTGTACTGAATGTGGATATACTTCTCACACAACTGACAAGTGCTTCAGACTCATTGGTTTTCCTCCTGGTTTTAAATCTGGCAGAAATAAGGGAATTAATTCTTCAAGCCAAGTTCATTCAGTAGCATCTTCTGGTGAGCAAAGCTTTTCTTCAATGCCATTTACTCCAGAACAATATAACCAAATACTCAGTTTGATTAAACCTATCAATGTTCCACCTATTGATACTCCTTCGATCAATAAGTCTGATAACATCACCCCGACATTCCAACCTCAATGCAACATGACAGGTAAACGCCATTGCCTATCTTTTTCTTCTAATCACATTTCCATTTCAAATACTCTTTGGATCATTGATACAGGAGCGACCGATCATATGGTATGTTCAGTTTCTTTCTTGAACACTATAACAGCCACTGTAAATTCTTCTGTGCAATTACCTACTGGTACATTTGCACAAGTTACTCACATAGGCAATGTAGTCATTTCAGACAAACTTTGCTTGACAAAAGTGCTATGTGTCCCATCTTTTTCTTTTAATTTGCTATCTGCCAGTCAACTCACTCGTAAATCTAATTGTTGCTTGATTTTTCTATCTCATCAATGCTTTATTCAGGACCCTATCTCATGGACGACGATTGGTATGGGTGAAGAAAGAGGAGGATTGTATCATCTGTTGGGATCTCCAACAAAACCTTTTATTCCAGCAAAACCTTCTACATGTGCTACCTCTTATTCAAATTCAAGTTCATTTGACCTGTGGCACTTTCGTTTAGGTCATTTGTCCTCTAGTTGCTTGCAATATCTTGCTAATAGTAATTCTGATGTAATATCAAGTCGAAAAGAATTTCTTTGTAACATTTGTCCAATGGCAAAACAAAAAAGACATGCTTTTCCTGTTAGCAATACAATTTCTACACATTTATTTCAACTTATACATTGTGATGTATGGGGCCCTTTTGCTCATTCTTCTTTAAATGGTGCAAAATATTTCCTCACTTTAGTAGATGATTTTTCCAGATCAACATGGATATATCTCTTACAACATAAATCCGAAGCAAGATCATATATCCAATGCTTCTATAATTTAGTTGAAACACAATTCCAGATCAAAATAAAACAGCTTCGCACTGATAATGCCCCTGACCTTGATATGCGAATTTTTTGTGCTGAAAAAGGCATTATTCAACAAAAAAGTTGTGTTGCCACACCGCAACAAAATAGTGTAGTCGAGCGAAAACATCAACACATACTAAATGTCTCACAAGCACTCATTTTTCAAGCCAATTTGCCTCTTAAGTTCTGGGGAGAAGCTGTCTTAACCGCAGCATATCTCATTAATCGTACACCCACTCCTCTCCTACAAAACAAATCTCCATTTGAGATCTTATACAATAAACCTCCTACCTATACTCACCTCAAAGTGTTTGGAAGCCTATGTTTTGCTTCTACTTTATCCCACAATCGTTCTAAATTTGCCTCTCGAGCTCGTAGGTGCATATTTCTTGGATATCCTTACGGTGTCAAGGGATATAAACTCTATGATCTGGATCATCACACATCCTTCATTTCTCGAGATGTAGTTTTTCACGAACACATCTTTCCTTACAAGAGTTTAAATTCTACCTCATTTGATAATTCATTTGTCTTTCCCAAATCTCTTCCTTCTCAAGATTTGGATATCTCCAATACAAATATTCAGTCTTCTACCAATATGCCTCGCAGATCTTCTAGAATTAGGAATGTTCCTAGCTACCTTGATCAATATCATTGCAACCTCTTTACTTCTTCATCAAATCAATCTCGCTCCATGTGTTCAGGGAGATCGAATAAGGTTAGTACTCCTCATGATCTATCTTCATCCTTACAGTACAACAAATTGTCACCCTCTTTTACAAACTTTTGCCTCTCAGTTTCAACTACGTTTGAACCCTCACATTACTTTCAAGTTGTAAAATTTGAACATTGGAGAAAA